CCTGAGATAATCTTTAAAACTAAACACAAAAATATACCTAACACCAAGCAATAATTCAGCTAAACTGGTAAAAAAAAAAAATCTAAATTGAGCATTGTACTCTTTAAAACTATCTACAATGTATACAATGTACCAAAAATAAATGGTTGATATTCAGTCATTTCTAGAGGTAGCATATGATTAAGAATCAATAGTGCTGGAAGGCTGAAAGAGATGCAAGGGGCACAGAAGGCATTGTGAAATGGCAAGACTTCAGAAACTAATGGACTACAAATTGAAATATTTCAGCAAACTGATGCAGCACTGAAGGTGCTCCCTCATCTATGCCAAGAAATTTGGAAGAAAGCTACCTGGGTAACCGACTAGAAAAGATCCATATTTGTGCTCATTCCAAAGATAGATGACAAAATGGAATGTGAAAATCAACAAACTATATCACTAATATCACATGCAAGTAAAATTTTGCTAAAGATAGTTCAAGAACATCTAAAGCAATTCATTGACTGGAAATTACCCGAGGTTCAAACCAGATTCAGACAGGTTGAGAAAAGAGGAATATCACTGCTGACATATTTTGCTGAAAGAAGAGAAGTCCAGAAAGATGTTTACCTGAGATTTATTGATTATACAAAGATTTCAACTTGGTAGATCATGCCAAGCTATGGATAACAGTGCAAAGAATGGATATTCTAGAACACTATTGATTGTGTGCTCATGAGGAACTTGTACACAGAACAGGTAGTCATTTGAACAGAACAAGGGACAGTGAATGGTTTAAAATTAGGAAAGGTGTGTACCAAGGTTGTATTCTCTCACTTTACTTATTCAAATAATCAGGGAGGCTGGATTATATGAAGAAGAACATGGTATCAGCTTAGAGGAAGATTCATTAACAACCTGTGATATGCAGATGATACAAATTTGCTTGCTGAAAGCAAAGAGGACTTAAAATTGATGAAGATCAAAGATGACAGCCTTCAGTGTGGATTGCACCTCAACATAAAGAAAATAAAAATCCTCACCACAGGGATCAATTAAAAATATCATTATTAATGGAGAAAACATTAAAGCTGTCAAATATTTCATTTTGCTTAAATCCATTATCAACACTTGAGGAAGCACTAGTCAAGAAATCAAAGGACATATCGCAATAGATGAATCTGTGGCACAAGACCTCTTTTAAAGTGTTCAAGAGCAAAAATGTTAGTTTGCAGACTAAGGTGAACTTGAGTCAAGCCATGGTATTTCAATTTCCTAATACAGATGTGAAAGTTGGACAGTTAATAATTTTTTAAAAAAAATATAAAAACATAGAGGAATTGATTTATTTGAGTTATGGTGTTGGAAAATAATACTAAAAGTACCATTGACTACCAAAAGAACAAAACAAATCTGTTTTGTCAGAAGTATAGCTAGAATGCTCCTTAGAAGCCAGGATGGAAAAACTTGGTCTCTCATATTTCAGGTATATCATCGGGAAGGACCAGTTTGCTTGGTAAAGTGGAGGGTCAGTGAAAAAGCGGAAGACCCTCAAGAGGACCTATTGGCAGAGTGGCAGCAGCAATGAGCTCAAGCATAATATTGACTGTGAGGATGGTGTAGGACTGGGCAGTGATTCATTCTGTTGTGTCCAAACTGACTTGCTATGTTGCTATGAGTCCAAACTGACTCAATGGCACCTGACAACAATAAGAACAACAACCCCAGGCAATCTGTAGCTACAATATATTTACAATCCAGACTCCAACACTATTCTTAAAAGAGACGAAAATCTATCACTAAATTTATATGAAAAGGCAAAAGACCTCCAAAAAAGCAAATCATTACTATAAAAGAACTAAGTAGGAGACCTCTCACCTCTTAATCTCAAAACCTACTTCATAGCCACAGTATTCAAAAAACCTAGTAATGGTTCAATGAAAGTCATGCAGATCAATGAAGTAGAATTGAGAATCTAGAAGTAGATCCATCCACCTAATGTCAGTTGACAAAACTGCATAAGAGATAGTCTCTTCAACGAATGGAGCTGGCAAAACCAGAAATCCATCTGCAAAGAATGAAACAAGATGCTTGTTTCACTGCAGATATAAAAACAAAATTGACATGGATTAAAGACTTAAAAGTACAACCTACAATTATAAAGATCGTCAGTGAAAACATAGGCACAAACTGAGGAGCTCTGATACATGGTACAAGAACACTATCCAATACAACTAAACCACACAAACAGCAAAAGATAAAATAGATTATTGGAACCTCCTAAAAATTAGACACCTATATGTATCAAAAGATTTCACCCAAAGAGTGAAAAGTGAGCCCACAGATTTGGGAAAAATATTTGTCAGTGACATATCAGGCAAGGGTCTGTTCTCTAAAATTTATAGCACACTCCAACACCTCAACTAGAGAAGCCAAATAATCCAATTAAAAAGTGGGCAGAGGAAATGAACAGAAACTTCAGTGAAGACATTCAGGTGGCCAGCAAACATGAAAAAATGCTCTGGATAATTAGCCATTGTTGTTGTTGTTGTTGTTAAGTGCCATTGAGTCTATTCTGTCCCACAGCAACCCTGTATAGGGTTTCCAAGGAGCAGCTTGTGAGCTTGAACCACTGACCTTGCAGTTCAAATGACTGTGCAGTCTGATGCATTAGCCCACATCACCACACCAGGACTTCAATTAACCATTGTTGTTGCTTTGTTCCGTGGAGTTGGTTGTGACTGATACCGACCCTGTACAGGGTTTCCAAGGCTGTAAATCTTTACGGAAGCAGAAAGCCTCATCTTTCTCCCATGGGACAGCTGGTAGGTTCAAACTGCTGACCGTAAGATTAGCAGCCCAATTCATAACCACTACACTACCATTTAGAGCGATGTAAATCAAAACAACAATGAGATACCATCTTATCCCAGCACTGAGAACCTCCTACATTATTGGTGGGACTAGAAAATGGTACAAACACTACAGAAAACAGTGTGAACAGTGTGGTTGTCCTTAAAAAGTTGACAAGAAAAATACTACGTAACTCAGCAATCCCTCAACTTGGTATGTATCCTCAAGAAATGAAAGCCATGGCACAAAGAGATGTATACACACCTATGTTCACTACAGCACTATTCACAATAGCAAAACGTTGGGCATAGTTTAAATGACCTTCAGTGAAAGAATGTGTGTACATGCATGCAATGGAGCACTATACAATATTAAAGAGTATTGACAAATCCTTGAATCACCTTATAAACATGGATAAATCCAGAGGACATTATACTGAGTGAAACAGTAAATCACAAGAAGGCAAATATTGCCATGAGACCACTGCTGTAAGAAGACGATGTTTTCTTTCTAAAAGAAGCATTCTAGAATGATTACCAGGGATGGGAGAGAAGTGAAAATTATTCATTAGGTAGAGGGTTGTTGTTGTTATGTGCCGTGGAGTCGGTTCCGATTCACAGTGACCCTGTACAGGATTTCTGAGGCTGTAAATCTTTACGGGAGCAGAAAGCCTCATCTTTCTCCTGCGGAACAGTTGGTAGTTTCAAACTGCTGACCGTGAGATTAGCAGTCTGATTCATAACCACTACACTACCAGAGCTAGACACATGTTAATTTGGGTGATGGGGAAGGCACAATATACAACAAGGAGGAGGCTGGCACAGAAAAGATGGGGTTGGGGGAGGAGTGAAGGAGTTGGGGTGAGTGGAAGTGGATGCTGTTGACTGATGGTAGAAGGGATTGCAATCATTGCAATGACACGAAATGTATGATTTGTTGATGGTGGAACTGATGATCTGTTCTGTAAATCTTCACTCAGTTCGCAATAAAAAAAAGAAAAGAAAAGGAATGGCCTATTATTAAAAGCTATAACTTATGGATAGATCCCAAAATAATTATGCTGAATAAAGAAGCCAGGCAAAAGAGAGTATATACTGTATAGTTCTAGTTTTATGAACTTCTACAAAATACAAACTAATTTAGCAAGGGAAAGCAGATCAGCGATTACTGGGGTAGGATAGTAAGGGATAGGCAGATTCCTAAAGGGCATGAGGAAACTTTGGTGTGAAAATGAATATGTCCATTATCTTGATTTTGGATTCACAGCCTTCTGCATATGTCAAAACACACTAGTATGTACCCTTTACATAACTGCTGTTTACTGCATGTCAATTATACCTCTAAAAAACTGTAAGAAGTGCATATATTTTTTAACTGTGAAAATTCCCATCAACATTTTAATAACAGCTATTTCCAAATAGGAAATTTTTAAAAAATTTTTCCTGCAAGTTCAACTGCATTTCCTCAATCTCTACAAGTATGCTTATTACTTAAAACTAAATATGTTATTTTAAATTTAACTTTAAAATGTCTTCTTAAAAATATGTGGTTTTGAGTTGATAAAAGAAGGGAAAGTAACAACAGTGGTTTATATTTATATACTCTTCCTACTTTCCTACAACATCTTATTTCTTTACAGCAAAGATAAATACTACATTTAAAAATAAAATATATTTGTGTGTGTTTTAAAAGAAAACACTGTTTTGTTGCAGACTCTTGAAAGTCTGTCCACTGTATTTCCAGCCTTAAATTTGCTTAAAAAAAAAAAAAAACCAGGAAACCAATTTATCAACAACCACTTTGGACGTGGAACTTCGCTCTCACAGATGATAAGATGGTGCCTTTTTGTTTTGTGTTTTTACAGACGATTAAGACCAGGCTTCTTGCGTCGAAGTTGGGGGCGACTTTAGATAAATGAAGATGTACAGTATAGCTTCTATCTGTCCCACGTCTATGCCAACCACATCAGGTGCTCCAGGCCCCCACTGCCCCCAGCTACTCTCAGCCCTCTGCTTGGAACCCCGCGAATGTGGAGAGAAGAGGGGGTTTGTGACGCAAACGCCGTTGGTTGGCTAGGGATGCCTAGGGATTCGGGCCTGAAGCCCCTAGTGCCTGCTTCACCGCATGCAGAGCCAACCTGACCTCAGTTTCCCCAAAGCGGAGGAGCCATGCTATCCTGTTTTTTCTTGCTTTCTAAGCACATCAATGCCTCCCTGGTGTCTCTGCACAGAGCCCGCTGTAGCTTCCAGCTCCCACAGCGCTGGCCTCCAGGACGTTCCTGGGTTCCCGGGATGGCTGCTCCCTGCCACCTGCAGGCCGCCTCCGCCTCCTCTGGAAATCCTTCTGGACTCTCCTCTACTTCTCGGGTGCGACAGAACTTCCACCCCGACTCTGAAGCTGCCATCAACCGCCAGATCAACCTGGAGCTCTACGCGTCCTATATGTACTTGTCTATGGCCTATTACTTCTCCCGGGATGACGTGGCCTTGAACAACTTCTCCAGGTATTTCCTTCACCTCTCCCGGGAGGAAACTGAGCATGCGGAGAAGCTGATGTGGCTGCAGAACCAGCGGGGAGGCCAGATCTGTCTGCAGGACATCAAGAAACCTGATAGAGACAATTGGGAAAGTGGGCTAAAAGCCATGGAATGTGCTCTGCTCTTGGAAAAATCTGTGAACCAGTCATTGTTGGAATTACATGCTCTGGCCTCAGGCAAAAGTGACCCCCACTTGTGTGATTTTCTGGAGACCAACTACCTGAATGAGCAAGTGAAGTCAATCAAGGAACTCGGTGACCATGTACACAACTTAATTAAGATGGGGGCCCCAGACTCAGGGCTGGCAGAGTACCTCTTTGACAAACACACCCTTGGAAATGAAAACAAGCAGAGCTAAGTCACAGTCTTCCAGACCACCTTGTGGGTTCTAGGACCCAGAGTCAGCTTTCCTGCTTACTTGCCCTTTAAATACATTACCCTGAATCCTCCACCTTTATGTTCTTCTCCTGTTAAACTCTTTCTCAATAAAGTAATTTATACAGAAAATGTATTTAGCCCTTGTTAATAGATGTTTTGGCCAGCATCAAGGTACTTTTTTACTCAGCCTGAAAGGTAGATCAGGATAACATGGTATAAAAAGTGCTGCAAGAAAAGAAAAAGAAAAATTACTGAAAAGTGGATGCAAACAAACTTTCACCGGTTGCCAGTTATTTCAGACCTTGAAACTATCTTTGCCTGTCATCTTTAAGAGTTTTGTTCAAGGCTCAATGGGGAAATGTATGAGATAAATATATAAATGACTGTAACAAGGTGAAGAATACACATGGTACTGCAAAAATTATACATGCAAAACTTATTAACAGACTTTACCTTAAAGGTAAAGTCCAAATGTGTTCCAAGACCCAGCAATGTCCAGAAATGATCTGGTTTTTAAAAGTCTTGGTTATACAATACACTTGTGACAAGTTTCCTAAGGTATAAACTCTGGCCTTGAATAATCACAATATTTTGGAAAGTCTTGCAATTAAAAGCAAACAGCAAAAAATCTTGGATTATTTATGTGTAGCTAAATTTTTCTCAAACATAATTCATCCATCTCTAATACATTTTTTATGATGACAATAGAGCAGCCAAGATCTGATTCTTGATTCTATTCATATCACAGGTAGGCTAAATACACCAAGAAGAGTGAATAAGAAAGCATATTTCTGTGACACACAAAAATGCAATAGAAGAAATATTGGGGTTTGAATTCAAGAAAGTCTCCAGGAAGAACAAAACATCGAGTTGGGCAGATGCTTTCTTTAGAGAAAATTAGGATGAGATTAGTGCAATAATATTTGGCCATCAGACATTGGGCTAGACTATAGCTCTGGGTGTTTGGAAAGCTAAATCCAGGCATGAAGTGGTAGTGAAGAGGAGTAATTCAGTGAGCAACAGCAATGACATCAAGGGATCACAGCAGAATAATATTGTGATAAAAACAGAGAATAAAGAAGCTTAATCTGGTTGCACAGAATAAAAGTCCGAAAACAAATGACTATTTTAGTTTAGGTCCCCAGCAAAGTAGACAACAAGGTGGGATTAAATGTAAAAATAATTTATATAGAGTGCAGTCCTGGTGTGGCGTTGTGGGCTAATGCGCTGGACTGCAAGTCAGTTTCAACTGCAAGGTCAGCAGTTCAAGCTCACCCGCTGCTCCTATGAAACCCTATTTGGGTCACAATGGGTTGGAACCAACTCAAAGGCACTTAACAACAACAACAGAAAAGTTTTTGAAAGAAAATGGGAAGGACCTGGGAGAAGTAAGGATAACAGACCACATGTAAATCTGAGCTCTAGGGAAGAGAGACAGAAATGAAAATTGTTCAGAGTTTTGAGAAAAGTTCTGCAAAGCTTTTGGGCAGACCTCCAGTCATAAACACAAGTCAGAGGAATCCCAACTCTCCAAAATATAGACCTGCCTAAGTACCTTTCCAGCATCAGTTATTGACAGGGAACAAACCATAGAATACGGGCCTTGAAACAAATTTAAGTGGTAGATGGATTTCAGAGCCTAGAAGATGGGGCCCTTGACAAATTATGCTCCCAGAAGTCTGACAAATTATACTCCCACATATACATGACTGCCATAAGTTTCAACAAAATGTTTTAGATTAAAAAACATTTATACAATGGCACACTTTCAGCTATTAAGCATAATTTAGTCAAATGAGTAATGATGTGGGCAGCAATTCACTGTATATTACCTTAAAAACGTGTATTATATGACATGATTATATTATGATGCTATATTGGAAAATTATATATATATACATGTAAAATTACTGGAAATACACCAACAAGTGAAGACAGATACACTCTTAAATAGTGAGGTATGTTTGAACCTACTCAGCACTTACTCAGCTGACTAGAGTTGTCATTTATTTATTTTCCTTACCTGATTTTCATAAATTTCTTATCATTAACATATTATCATAACAAAAAGTTTAAATATTAAAAGAGGCAAAAACAACAAAAAAATAATAAAGAAATGATGACAAGATTATAGAGGCAGAATTTGTGTGTGTTTGTGTGTGTGTGTGTAACTGATTGGATAAAGGTAGTTACAGAAACAGGGAAGGGGAGTAAATGGCTAGGCATCAAACCAGAGTGATTAGGGAGTAGAGGATGCGAGAATAAATAAGGATCTCAGCAGGAGAAATAATTGGATGGGAGAGTGCATAATGATTCTGAGTTTGATTATATTGGTGAATCTCACTTGAAATTCTATCATTAACTGGACTTATTTTGCTGCTCAGAAACCTTACTACATTATTTATTAAATTCTTCTTCAATTCTTATATGTAAGTATTTTTCAAGCTGCAAATTGAAGCCCATTAGAATGTCATGAAATTAGTTTGTGAGTCATTGTCTGCCTTTTGTTAATAAAAGTGAAGTGAAAATATCAGAGCATGACACATGAAATAGGGGTTGTCTCATGAAACTCTTGTCTCAGTTGTGTATATTTACAACCTGAAGTGATATTTCTTGTTCTGTGTTGCTATCAAAGACATTAAAGAGCCCCATACTAGCTAGAGTCCTTGTGTGGCACAAATGGTTATATGCTCCACTACTAGCTGAAAGGTTGGTGGTCAAAACCCAGCTAAAAGCAACTCTGAACTCAGACCTGCAATCTGTTTCTGAAAAGGTTAGTCTTAAAAGCCCTAAAGAGAAGTTCTACTCTGCATATATGGAGTTGCCATGAGTCAGAATAGACTCAATGGCAAATAACACAACATATTACTATTTTACACATTCTTATTGTTGTTGTTGTTTGGTGCCATCAAGTCAGCACCGACTCATAATGACTCTATGCACAACAGAACAAAACACTGACCGATCCTAGGCCAACCTCACAATCATTGCCACGCTTGATGCATAGATGCTGCAACTTGGCCAATCCATCTCATTGGGGGTCTTCCTCTTTTTCTCTGACCCTCCACCTTACCAAGCATGCTATCCTTCTCCAACGACTGGTCCCTCCTGACAATACGTCCGAAGTATGAGAGATGAAGTTTGGTCATCAGGTCCTCCAAGGAGCACTCTGGATGCACTTTTTCCAACACAGAACTGTTGATTCTTTTGGCAGTCCATGGGACTCTCAATATTCTACTCCAACACCGTAACTCAAAAGCACCAATTCTTCTATGGTCTTCCTTATTTGCTGTCCAGCTTTCGCATCCATATGAGGTTATTGAAAATACCAGGGCTTGTGGCAGGCGCCCCTTAGTCCTCAAGCTGACGTCTTTGCTCTTCAACACTTTAAAAAGTTGTTGTGAGGCAGATTTGCCTAATGAAATACTTCATCTGATTTCCTGACTGCTGCCTCCATGAGTGTTGATAGTTGATCCAAGAGAATGGTGTTGTTGTTGTTAAGTGCCATCAAGTCGGTTCCGACCCATAGCAACCCTGAACAGGGTTTCCAAGGCTGTAAATCTTTACGGGAGCAGAAAGCCTCATCTTTCTCCTGTGGAGCAGCTGGTAGTTTCGAATTGTAGTCCTTGACAATTTCAATCTTTTCTCCATTAATAAGAATGCTGTTTATTGGTCCAGTGGTAAGGATTTTTGTTTTCTTTCCATTGAGATGCAATCCATACTGAAGGCTGTGCTCTTTGATCTTGATCAGCAAATATTTTAAGTCCTCTTCACTTTCAGCAAGCAAGGTTGTATCATCTGCATATCACAGGTTGTTAATGAGTCTTCCTCCAATTCTGATGCCACATTGTTCTTCATATAACCCAGCTTCTTAGATTATTTGCTCAGCATGCAAGTTGAATAAGTATGGTGAAAGAATACAGCCCTGTTGCACACCTTTCTTAATTTTAAACCATTCAGTGTTCCCATGTTCTGTTCCTACAACTGCCTCTTGGTCAATGTACAGATTCCTTATGAGCTCAATTAAGTGTTCAGGAATACGCATACTTCGCAACATTGTCATGATCCACACAACTGAAAGCCTTTGTGTAGTCAATAAAGCATAGGTAAACATCTTTCTGATATTTTCTGTTTTCAGCCAAGATCCATCAGACATCAGCAATGATATCCCTCGTTCCACAGCCTCTTCTGAATCTGGCTTGAACCTCTGGAAGTTTTCTGTCAATGTATGCTTGCAGCCGTTTCTGTATTACCTTTAGCAAAACTTTACTCGCATAGGATATCAAAGAGATTGCATGAAGATTTCTGCATTCTGTTGGGTCACCTCTCTTTGGAATGGGCACAAATACGGATCTCTTCTAATCACATTCTTATCTCTCCTCAAATCCAAGTCTCTTCCCCCACCTCCCATTGTCAGTTGATAATCCTTTTATTAAGTAGAGAAAATAGAAATGATCATATGATAACTGCCCATATCCCAATCATTTGAGTTATCAGATAATTATATTTGTATTCACATTCTGGGTTCTCTATTCTATTATAATGGTTAAAGTATCCATGCTGGCTCCTGAGACCCAAACTCTTACCATTGCTGGAATCCTAACCCTCCCACATACTCCAGGATACAAGGACATTGTTATTGTTGTTTGTTAAGTGCCATGTAGTCAGTTTTGACTCATAGCAGCATTGATCTTGATAAATGCCGTCAAGTCAGATCTGATTCATAGCTACCCTGGAGTAGCTGGTGAGTTTGAACTGCCAACCTTAAGTTTAGTAGTGCAGTGTTTATGCTACAGCACCACACCAGCAATATTGTTGTCGATTCTGACTCATAGCGACCATGTTTAGGGTGTCCAAGGAGCAACTAGTAGGTTTGAGCTGCCGATCTTCTGGTTTACAGTCCAGTGCTGGTCCCTACAGTGTCATACATTATTCTCTCTCTTCCATTATTAATTTGCCTTCTCTGTTGGATGATTCTCA